GACCAGCCTGCCCTGGGCCAGCTGGCTGCACCTCCTGTGAGAGGCTTCCCAGGCAAACGGGCACGTGTTCCTGGGGGACAGAGGGCAGGTGGGGGACCCCTGCCCCGCTGTGGCAGGAGCAGAGGTGATGCACTGTGGTGTGGATCAGCTCTGCTCCCGTGGCCAGGGTCCTGCCTGCTCCAGCGTCACATGTGCCAGGCACAAGCCTCTAGGAGCCCCTCACCTCTTGTTCTGGGCTCCGAGCTGGAGCCCTGAGCAGAGCTGAAGCAAGGACAGAGGGTTTCCCACAAACAGCCCCAGCTGCCCCAGGGAACAGCTCACCAGGGGGGCTGGGTAGGAGCTTTGGAGCCTGTCATGGAGTTGATTCTGTCTGGGTGAGCTGCACTTAACTACCCGAGTGGATCCATGGAGGCAAAGTCCCACATCTTGTTTTCTGGGCTCTGCAAGGGGAGCGTGACTTGTCCATGAAGATGGATGGAGGGCTGCTGGTGGACTAGAGACCAGGGTGAGCTCTGTGTGGAGCTCTAGCATGGCATGGAGCTTCCAGAGACACCTCCTGGGATCCCACTGCCTCTCATACCTCAGACACCCACAGCAGACATTAGCCTGAAGCCTGAGCTGCAAGGTGGTAGAATGGCACGTTCCTGCATGCTGTGCACGATGGCAACCTGCTGCTGCTTTCCTCTGAGTGCAGCATTGGAGCAGACTGGCTGTTTTGAACCAGCTCATCCTGTACTTTAAATCCTTCAGTCCCTCAAACAAGTAAGCTGAGTGCAGCCAGCTATAAGCATGCAAAGCTCTGTCCTGGTTGGATAGAATAAGGTGTGTCAATAAAATTCTAATGTTCTCCATGTCTTGGAGAAGCACAAGGCTGGAAGGGACCTCTCAGGTCACAGTCTGGTGCTGGCTTTATGACACTAGATCCTGCAGCTGCTCCGAGCTAGCAGGGGGAGGCACTGCCTCAAATCCCGGGCACAGCCAAGTGGAGCTGGGTCTGCCTGTCACAGGTTTCAGAGAGCTCTGCTGCTGCTGGAGTCACTCAGCTCACTGGGACAGGAGTCTCTCGGTGCTTAGTAAGGCATTGCACTGGTATTTCCTGCTACATTGCCCCTTCTCCTTTAAATAATCCCTTTCATACAGAGGATGCAAGAAAATAGATCACTTGTAGCTTAAAATAGGCAAATCTGATTAAAAGACAGATGAAGCATTTCTTTGTTTGAGCCTTGCTGGACAACAGTGCTGGTAGTGCTGGGACCCCCCCAGAGGTGTCATGGCCCACAGCAGCTTGCCCTGGAGAAGGCTGGGTCCCCTCTGGGGTGACCCCTCTCAGGAACAGCAGCACTGAGCCCATCAGCCTGCCTGGATTAGCCCCTGGGCTCACTCCCAGGCGAGCTGCTCCTGTGCAGAAGGACCAGGGCATTTCCAAAGCAGCAAAAGGAGCTCCCCCACAACTGGTGCCACGCAGGAGGCACTGCAAAGGTTCCTGCAGGAGGGGATGAGGACACAGAGCCCCTCCTCCTCTCCTGCCAGCAAGCTGTAGCCGAGTGGACATGGCTTTTCTGTGTTACTGGTCACAGCACTGGGGGAACTGGCACCTTCTGCTTGGTGCTGGGGGGTAACACATGCTGGAGAGAATGGATGTGCCTGTTTGTCAGCCCTTTCCCTCTGGCAGCAGGAGAGGGGAGCAGGCACCAGAGCACCCCACTGCTCCAAAAACCTCTGGAGCTCTTCTCCTTGCCAGGGTCCACCTGTGTTCTGGCAGCACAGAGCTGCCCTGCTGTAACTGTGCTGTTTGCTGGTGGGGAGAGGTGTTCTGCCTGGTGGGTGACGAGGGTCTCCAGTCCCAGTGTGCCTTTGAAGTCCAGTGTCTGCCACAGAGCTGCCTTCTATTAACCATTGCTTAATTCCTCCTAGCTCAAAGGAAGTACCCAGCTTCAAAGGAGAGCCTTGGGTAGAAGCTGGATTGGGATGTTTATCTCTGCTGCAGAGAGATTTAGTTAGTAACAGCAGTTTGGTAAATGCTCCCTGGCCTCGGCCTTTGTTCTCTGGTGATCAAAAGGATACAGCAAAAGTTGCACTTCTGGAGAGAAACCTGGGGAAACTGTCACATTTCTGTGCCTTCAGGCTTAGAGAGAGGGTTTAAGAGGATGGGTGCTGGCATGGGACTGGCTTCCCACATACCTCAGGATTAACAAAGCCTCTCCATCTTCATGTTCTAGTCTTGTGGGAGTAGGAGCTTCATGTGTAGCTTGATGGACCAGTCCTGAGCTGGCATTCCATCACCTGCAGTGATCCAGTGTAGGATCAAGCTGAAATCCAGCCAGAGGCCTCCAGGATCCTCACCTAGTGTCCTGTGCCCAGTGCTCAGCGTCACTGCTGCGTGTGGAGCCTGCAGAGCCAGCAGCACCCTTGTCTCAGTGCCAAAGCCAGGGGGTGGGTGGAGAGGTGGGTGGGGGGGGTTGCCTCTCTCTGGCGGAGGCAGGAGGGGGGCTTGCCCC